TGATTTCAATAGAATGTCAAATAGAAGCAAATCCAACACCATCATATGTTTGGTATGATATGTCAAATAATAATATAAATATATCAACAGGTATGATGTCATATTATGGTCATCAAAATCCATATGGACAACAATATCCATTACAACCATCATCAAATATACCAACAACTGGATTATCTGTATTTGGTACAACAAGACAAGTACAAAGAATTTATCAAAATCCAGGACAATATGCTATGCAATGTCAAGCACAATCAAGAGGAAAAACAATTAAACAAGAATTTTTTATTACTGTTATTCGTAAGTTATTTTTTTCTCTTGAAAATTATTTATCTCAAAGAAATTTTTCGAAATATATTATATCCTTATTGAATTCAACATTGAATCATCCTAGTAAGTTTTCATTTAGTCAATCCTATACAGTATGATCATATTTTTTTATATGAAAAAATGATTTTAAACTTAAATTATTGTTTAAGAAAAGGTTCTTAAAGTAAATAGAATACTTTTGTTTTTTTTAGTTTTAAACAAGATGAATGTATCCTTGTTGAAGTATTGAATTTACAATAATTGTCTATTTTACTGAGAATTCTTTATATAATAATCTTTCAATTTGAAATAAATTAATTTATTTATGCATTGTAAACTGAAACTATAATGATAAAATTGAATAGATCTTCTTACAGTAATATTATATTCATGATTTTTTAGAAATATTCTCATTTTCTTGTTGTCAACTAAAAATCTTCATAATTTCATGATATTTAAGTATATATTTACACGATTGTGATGTGTTATTTTATTATATTTAGTCTATTAAAAAAAAAGAATTTCTATTAAATTATTAATGAACTATTTATTATAAAGTAGAATAAATATAAATATCTATATTATATTTATTTAAATTATTTATAGATTCTTTTTATTTTATGATCGAACTGTGTAGTTCATTTGATATTCAATTGATTGATTGATCTTTAATAGTAGCTAGCTTATCATTGACATTTACTATTATTATCAGGTCAATCATGATGAAAGTTACTTTCGAACATTTGTATCAGTTACGAAATTAACCTTTTTGTTTGTAAACATTTTCGTGAAATTCTATACAAATAAAATCTACTAATACTTTAGTTTAAATCAATACAAACATTAAATAATAATCACAAGAATAAAAAAACGATAATAATTATGTTTACAATTAAATTTAATCTAATATTTATAATAAATAAGATTCTAAACTCTCATATATATGCACAAAATCTATGTTTAGATAAGTAATATTGGCATGAGTAAGAGAGAAAAATAAAAGTAAGAATATATTTCTGTAACGTTCCGTGAAATTATGCTGTTATTTTTTGGTTGTTATATGCATGATTATATTGTTTTGTTCCCATGCTTTTTTTTTCAACCATTTTTATTTAAAAAAAAAAATGAAAAAAAAACAAAAAAAAGATTTTTGTTAAACTAGTTTTTATTGTTCCTATTTCTTATTAGCTTCATCTAGTGGATTGAAAAGAGGTGGAGATACAGATGGAACTCGAGGAAGTAAGTTTAATTAAATTAAACATTACTTTATTAATATATATATATATTAGAATCATATAAAATTCCGATGATTATTGGACTCTGTATTGGTGGTATTTTACTACTTGTTATTATTGCTATTATAATAGCTGCAATTATTTTTTTAAAACGTCGTAAAACTAATACTAATGAAAAACGTTTACCATCTGGTATGTTATTTTTATTTCTTATCTAATAAATCATTAAAATATTTATTTTCTATTATAGTAGAAAAATTATCGAATGAGTAAGTTAATGTTTTTTTTTGTTTTTTGTTTCTAATAATTATTTATAATATTTAAGTAAACAAGGAAAAAATCGTTGGGGTCATAATAGTAATTTACCAATTGATTATACAAAATATAAACATGAAGTATTAAAAGGTGATTCATCATCAACATCACATTTAGTTGAATCAGCTGAAAGTAGTACAAGTCAAGTTCCATCAATACCAAAACGTTCATCATCAATGACAAGTACACATTCATCATATCGTCAAGCTCCTCCTCCTGTTCCATTACCACTTTCATATCAAGAAGCAAATACATTTCCAGGTTCTCGTCCACCACCACTACCACCATCAAAACCTTCCTATTCACCTGATAATGATGATATTGATGATGATATTGATACTAGTGTTAATGCTATGCCATTAACAACAAATCGATCACGAACAATAACACCATTTGGTTCACATAAATCACTTACAGAATCAATACAATCATTAAGATCTAATCAACAACCAGGATTATCATTACCTGTTAAAAAACGTTCACATGAACCTCCACCATTACCACCATCAATTATATCAAAACATGATCAACAAACATCTTCACCAAAATTATTTAATGCTAAAAAAGATTATCAACATCATCAATATCATAATCCAGCACAATTAAAAGTTCATCAACAAACAAAACCTAATGATATATCATCAGATGAAGATGAATTAGAACATCAACAACAATTAAATAATACTACCGAAGATTCAGCTGTATGTATATTTTGTAAAGAAAAATATCTTTAAATTCTATCACAATTATAAATAAATTTAACACATCTTCTTTTTCTATATATATTGATTAATCTATTCAAATTAGTTTTTTTCGTTATACATTGGGATAAAAGGAATAATGAGATATATTTATTCTATGCATGTATCATCTATTATATTGATCAAATATTTTTCTTTCAGTTTCTTCCGAAAAAATTTACATTTCGTGTGGTAAGTTATTTTGTATCAATTGTTATCAACGATGTTAAATGTTCTCGGTTGTTTTTTTTTGCCTGATATATCATGCATTTACGCTCTTGCTCATATTTGATGAAACATTTTTTTTATTACCCCGCTTATGTTTTGCTTATTCATTGCGTTCTATATCAATAATTAATCTTTTCTATTTATAAATATTTTGTTCGTATTTATAATAGAAAGCAGGACCTGGAGCGCCAACAAAAACATCATCAGCTTATAATCAAAAAGAATATCATCAACAACAGCAACAACAGCATGGGCGTCGAGTAAGAACACCACCACCACCACAACAAATGGTTGTCCATCAACCAACAACAGTACATCATGATGAAGTTCCACCAGCTTATCATCAAGTTTCTAATCCGCCTTCTTCATCTACTGCTTATGCATATCAAGAACCAACTGAAGTTTAATTAACTAATACCAGTATTTTATCTCGAGTTTATCTCTTTTTTTTCTTATTTTCTCAAATAATTATTATTGCACATTATCTTTTCATCTTTTTTTCTTCTTCTTCTTCTTTTATATTATTCATATATCCAACTGTTGTGCAATTGTTTTTGCGACGAATGAATCTCTATTGTTTAAACACTCGCCAATGTGTATGTGTGTCTATGTGTATGTTTATTCTTGTATATATATAGAGAGATGGCCTAATTTTGAGCATCAGATAAAAATGACCAATACTTATGCATGTTTGTTTGCGTGTGTACATTCCACTCTAACGACTCAATTCTCTCAGCAGTTGTTTTTCTTTCTTTCTTTCTTTCTTTCTTTCTTTTTTATTATCAATTATTATATTATGTAATGATTTCTTTTGGAGTAAATTTCAATGAATAATAATACATATTTACTTCGATTAAATAATAATATAAACAAAATTTTATCTTATAATAATGTTCAATTTGTTGAAAATTATTTCTACAAATCAGCAGTGGTTACTATTACAATTATAATGAAATAATTGCTTTGTCTTTTCAACGAATATTTATCAGAAACAATAAATCTATGAACTATTCATTTATTCATTTAATAATAATTGAGCATAATCAGTTTCAAATATGAATTATTATTTTCAATATATAAATATGAATTTTTCTTTCAAAAGAATTGCCTGATCATTTCGATATATAAGAAAAAAGGTCAAAATAAAAATTATACGTAATGATTTATTCTCATTCTAAGACAGATCTTAGGACATAAGCTTTCATCTAGTATAGTCATCTGTAGGAGAGTATTGTTTTTAATTAAACTCACAATTCTAGATTATTAAAATATATTCCGTCTTAAAAATAGTGTTATTATTCTTAGATATTTCAAGAATTAAATTTTATCATATGGGTATATGAAAAAAATGTGTATAGAAAATCTTAGATGGCAAAGTTTTTTCAAATATATTAGCATAATACTCAAAGGCTATAGAAGAATACTCGATAGAAATATTGAATTCTATCATATGAGTGCTCAGATACGTTAAACTCGTCACAAGTACCATCAGCGATTCCTCAAAAGGCACGAATACTGATGAGTTTTTTTGTGACATTTTTTACTGTGAACACTTTAACAGTATGACTACATGAAAGTTACATGCGAAGAAGAGCACTACACATCTAGGATGAGAACAGATGGTCTTTCTAGTCTAATTAGCTAGAATGTTTGTCAAGGTATCAAGATATATATGATTTTCATTCTATGAGAGTTTGTCTTTTCTCAGTTTTTTTTTTCTCATTTCATAACTCTAAATATATCCGTTTGCAAGTCATTATATTAGACTTTCACAATGAATAACTTGCTTTTTCTTTGTTTTCATATCGCTTTATTTGCCATCTGTTGAACTTATATCGATTAATTTAATTGACAATGCTCATGCTTCTTTACGATATAAACGTCAAAAAGTTAAAATTTATTCTTCTTATTTATTATTTTGAGAAGCTTGGAGTATGTGTGTTTAAATATAGTCATTATGGCATGGGATAGATTGCGCAAGTATTGTCTTGAATTAAACATTTTTTCAACTGATTCAGACAATGCACAGGTCATTCTTCAACAACGGTGGTCAACTCGCGTCTATATCGTGATGCTTTCTATCACTTTGATTGTTGTTACTATTATTGCTGGATTCAATCTTCGATCAATAAATGAAATCGTTTATTCACCTACAAAGTCTCAGTTTACCAAAATGATTGAAAGATATCCAAATACACTCAGATGCCCATGTTCCAGGATTGGTATTGCTTATGAAACATTTGTACGTACTCATGTTAATTTTCATCAAGTATGTTTAAGTACATTTGTAACACAAACATGGATAAATTCATTATTTTTACAAAGCAATAACTCATCTTCAGCTTCATATGATATTCGATATTATCTTAGATATTTTTGGGAAGTTATAGCTGGCTTTTGTTTTTTGAGCAATAGTACATGGATAGATGCTGTGACAAGTTTTGGTGCGCTACGCATTGTTAGTCCAATAGCTGTTGTTGGAGAAAATCTTCGAAGTCAAGCTCAAGCGACACTTGATAATTCTATGTTAATGGCTCAAAGTGTACTAGTTCGTAATTTAATTGCTCTTCGAGGTATAATTGCTGGAAACCAGTTCGTATCTGGTTTGACAACAAATTTTTACGCAAGTTATCCACCGTCAAGTTTCAGTAATGAAGGCACTCTAAAAATGTTCCCAAGAACATACAATAATTGCTCTTGCTTGAATTTTTTTGGTTGTCCACATCCAATTATCGTCACTACTAGTACTCATCAATTGATTACAATACCTGGTATGATTGGCGACTGTTTTATTGTTGATGCTACACTAGCCTCAACACTTGAATGCTACTATAATTCAACATGTTTTGCTCTATTGCATGGAGAATCAAGTATAAATGTGAACTTATTACTGGACACTTCAAACAAACATTTTATGATAAATTCCACTTTGCAAATGCTTATCAATGAAGCTATGGTTGATAATTGGTCTATTGAAATTCTGTTTGACTCATTTTACCAACAATGCAGTCCTACACATTGTTCTTACAGTTATATGAAGCGATTTTCTTTCATTTTTATCGTGACTATACTCATTGGCATCTACAGTGGAGCTTCATTTGTACTGCGATTACTTGCGCCTCAAATTGTAAGATTTATTTTTCAACATCGAAATCGAAAATTAACGTCTGATGTTGTGTCAGTAGTTACTGTGATTTCTCGCAGACAAAAGCGTAAGTTAAAAATCATTGCATAAATAAATTGCTCCTTTGTAAATATTTTGAAGATTATAAACGTTTCTTTAAAGAACTTGTGTTATAAACTGCTTCCTTCTGCTCTCCATATAGAATTGAAGTCCGCTCTATTCGAACTAGTGCAATATAGTAATGTAAATCATCGAATAGACTAGTTCGTCTCTTTTCATTGTTTGGTCGTAACTTTTTTGATACATCTTATTTCGTTTGTTCTACATGATTTCTATAAAAAGACAAATGTATTTCTTTCGTGAATCAAAAAAATGTGCACACATGTATATTAACGAGAGATACTTGTTCAGGAACTGATCAATAGGAAATATATATGTTTCTATACTACTTTATTCGGTTTCTTTCTGGTATGACATTATAGCTACACAGTATAGAAATGAAAGAATGTTTAGTTCGTTGGTAACTATCACAGCTCGCATTACAGGTCTTGAACAGTTAGGAAATATCAATTTATCGAATCTTGTGTACTTCTGTATTTATAAACAAAACAAGTCATAGCTATGACACAAAAAAATTGATGGCAAGTAAAAGTGCATCTCCAAACTTTTAACTTGCGAAACAAAGTAAAAGCCCAGTGGATTACTATTCTGTAGGCGAGTTTATTTTGAATGTAATAGCATATGCTCTTTAGTACTCTTGACGTTCAGCTGTAAATTGAAGCACTTAGAAACGTGTTGCAGTTCAAAAACCTGCTACAGAAATAGGCAAATGTATGTGAGACCGAAACAAGAATGCGGTCGCTATCGTACGATCTACATTTGGTCTTTACATGATCAATGCTTGAGACGGGTTTGAACATAGTCACGAACAAGCACTTTGTATATCTGAATTTCTTCTAAATTGTTTCTGAAATGATCAAAAAATCTTTTGCAAAAAGTATTTAAATTACGGATCACAGCGTCTATCAGAATTCGAGCGAAACAATCATTTGAAAAAGCACGTTCTCCATATAGTTTGTCAAGACGCCTTGATGTGTGATCTAAATGCATTTATTGCTTAAGATATGTTCAAATATAATCCGAAAACAAACAAGAATGTATTAGAACAAGTAAATCATCAATTAGAAAAATCTCAAAACCAAGTATAGTTTCTAGAATTGAATTCTGATGTATTGAAAATTTCTAATGGAATACTTTTAATATGTTCAAAACCTTTCTCTTCTTTGAAATAGTCCAAAGCTAATGTTGTTTTAACGCGAGTTATTTTATTTCATTATACTTCTAGTAAAGATGGCACGTGATCATACGCGAAATTTTCTAAGTACAATTGTTCGAAAAATGATCGCGTTGAATTTTTTCAAAACAAATGGATTGCAAACACCAATGAATATACGTCGACAACAAATTTTAACACGATTCTTCATTCTGATACTTGTTTCGTGCTCAATTACTGTTGGATTATATATATTTCTCTCTGACCAAGACCAACTTGTCACTGTTGAATATCCATCTCTAGTTAAATATGAGTCATTATATGAACAACATTCATCAACTCTTTTATGTCTTTGCTCACAAATATCTGTTCCATATGATAGATTTCTTAATGTAACATTTGTATTACATCAAATATGTACAAGTAGTTTAGTTTCATCAATGTGGCTTGATTATCTGGTACTTGTTAATATAAATCGTATACCGATATGGACAGAAACCGACTTCTCGCGTGATTTCCGTACTTTTGGTGCATCGTATTTTAAATTTTTGGCTACGTATTGCCATCTTGCTCAAATCAATATTGAAGATGCAAAGCATATGTTCTTATCTACACAATTCATTAATAATTATCTACCGTCTCAATTATTTTTTCTTCAACAAGTTCAACATATTTCTGAATCATTCATCGCTAAAACACGTCATGAATTTTCACGCACATTAAACTGGACTCAGACTGCTACCATGATTAGTCAATTTTTGACAGGTGCAAATACTAATTTTCGCATAACAGTCAATAATGATGGTCGAGTTATAATTAATGATGTCACGTTTAGGATAGTAACACAAATAACTCATAACTCTTTATTGAGTACTGGAAGATGCTCATGTGGATTCGACGGCAGAGTATGTTTTTTGATACCTATTATTTATACAAATGGATCAGGTGTATCTGAATTTTTACAAGTATTTTATGAATTAAAGATTGGTTGCATACCTATGTTTGGACTTTTCTGGTCAGAGACCGACTGGTGGTACAATATAACGTACATTGAAAATATTCGGATGACGTACAGTATGATCATGGACTCTCAACTTCTCTTTAATATTGAATCACTCAATCGATCAGTGCCAACACGATTTGAACATGTTCGATTGAATATTTTGCTTCAAGAAATGTTTGTAGAAACCGTGATAAATAATAATACTCGCTTTGATCTTTTCTATGAGCAATGTTCACCTATCGCTTGTACATACCAAGTCGTACAACGACGCGAGATAATTATTGCCATTCTATTAATCATTAATATCTATGGTGGACTCAGTCGAGGCCTTAGATTGATTATACCTTTGATTGGCAATCTTATTTTCTTTTTCATTCGAAAATGTCAAAATTCGACTATTACTCATGGTAAGTACGCTGTGAACTTTCAAAGATAATCCCTGTTGTAATTAAGTTAAGTCTGATGACAAACAATGAACGCAAAAAAAACGAAACTATTGATTGGCTAGTACCATAAAGTTAAGCTTTACTGAAGAAAGAAAATTAAGTGAATATCTGATGAACATGCGTGGAAAATGATTCTTCCTATTGAGAATTTATGAAATAGGCAAGAATGAAATTTTCATTTTTCATGCTATAAAATTCATCAAATAAATAACAACAGTTGACTAGATGTATAGAACCTAAAGTTTGTTTTTAATTTTTATTTGTTTCTTCAACAAATGTGAAAAATTTCTTCTAAGATTACGTATTGTTCAGACTGCTAGTAAAAAGAAAAAACAAATTCAAACTCATTGCAACATACATACGAAACATCAGGGAAAGATTCTTGTGATAGAAAATTATGTTGTTTTTATACAGAATAATACTTGCATATTTGCTATTATTCAGAAGGAGATAGAACCTTAACACAAATTGAATACAACTTAGCATCAAATGATTCAATGAGCAACATATTAGATGTTAAGAACTATAAATTTTGAAAAACTAAAATACACCAACCAGATTGATTTTTACGACTTTATATATTGAATTATGTCAAAGACAAAGGCTTCTGTTACTTCGTACTAGCAAGATTAGAGCTACTATGCGCATGCTTTACAAAGAGAATTGTTTGAAAGATATAAGTCTTATTTTGAAAAATAGTCATTCTTTATGGAAAAATTGTTAATGCATGTATGGCTTCAGAAACTCTTCGTTCTTGAAAGATATATGAGATAAAGAAAAACTTAGATGTTGACATACTAGATGTTATCAATTGATGCGTTGACTAACTAGCGATATTTCTGATGATTTGTATTTATTAAAAATTCGATAGAGTTCTACAACCTAGTCTATAAATATGCTTTTTCAATCTGTCTAAGCATTGATACATCCACAAATAGTCTCAAACGTCACATGTCATCCTTATATTCTAATGTAAAACTTCATACAATGCAATCTATATGGTATCATATTTTAGGTTACTTGTTAAGATTGGCAACTAGAAGCATTTCGAATTTCATAGACAGATAGAAAGACAAGATAGTCAATAACATTTTCTTTTTGAAATAAAAGTAAAATATGATTGATAAGTAGATTGCTTTTTCATTCATTTTATTTTGTCATTTATTCTCTTCAGAAATATGTCAAATATCCCAACATGTTCTAAATATGTCTTATCCTCTATTAACACAATTTAATAGATTGAGCCGACTTATAGATCATATTTGATAAAGACTTGTTTTTTATTTTTATTTTCAGGGCTTCGAACTATTGCTTTCTGCCGAAGAAGATTTCTGAATAATTTGGTTCAAGCAATTCTGGCAATAAATTTGTTTAAGTCGTTCAGAACCGATCGAACTAGTGAACACAAACAGAAAATTTATACCCGAGTCTATCTCGTTCTTTTCATTAGTATTCTTAGCATACTGATGTTTTACTCGTCTATTATCGGTCGTGTTATTCGTAAAACATATTTACAACCATCGATTGAAGACTATGAACATTTACTGAATCTTCATCCTGATGGAGTCGACTGTCCTTGTACAAGAATATCAATTCCTTACAATACATTTGTGATTCAACTTGAAGTCAAATCATATCATCAGGCATGCACTACTGATGTAATTGAACAAACTTTGATCATGGGTAGTATTTTTGAGCCTTCAACTACATACACCAATAGGGTCGATTTTCAATCATGGCGATTTTCTTTCGTCGACGGTCTACAGAGATTATGTCGCTTAGCAGAAGATAGTATTACCAATGATATTCAAGCATTTTTAGCTTCAACTATGCTGGTATATCAGTTAATACCACGTACTCAATTCGATAGCGAAATGAATGTCACATTGAATCGAGTGAAACTAGCAACACCTGTCGCATTCACTCGAATATTGGATCTACTTCGTTTAACTATTCATGGTAATGCATTGATCGATGTATTTTCATTGAGTTGGAACATGGTCATGGCTGAAAATAGTCAAGATACGAATGTTTCATTTGTTAGTATATCTACAAATCAATATACAAAATGTTCTTGTATCACTGAACGATCTTGTTCGATGGCAGCTCAATTATTTCTTCCTAATGATACAAGCTACTATACATTCCAAGGTTTGGTACTCGGTTGTTTTCTTCTTGAAACGGTACTACAGTCTTCATTATCATGTTTCTATTCGATGACATGTATTAAGGAATTTCGGAAGGTCATGAACTTCCATTATCCGGCAGATCTAGAACAATGGAGTAATGAAACAGGTAATCCTATTTTGTTGGATGCTGCAGCAACGCGATTTTCTGTCACAGATACAATTGAAATGATGGCTTACAATATGTTTATTGAATCATGGACAACAAATGTTTCATATGAGAATTTATTCTACGCGTGTGCACCAAAACAGTGTATTTATACATATTATTATCGAATCGATGTGCGGCAACTATTGACTACATTCTTGAGTGTTTTCTCTGGTCTATCTAGTGGACTACGACTTATTGTACCATATTTGGTTCGAATAGTCGAAATCGTGATAAAATTTTTTCGTATTAGGCCAATTCAATAACTCGTTTTCTTAAAAACTTTTGCGAATTTTTTCGTCTAGATATAAACATCATACTTAAGAATATATTTAAATTATGATCATTGATCGCATGTATATTTGTTTACAAAGCTTTCCTTAAATCGGATATTTTTGTTAATTGTCGTTTATTTCTTCATTGCTGTTATCGAATTTATTATGATAAAGTGACACATGCTTTTTGTTATTCAATTTTAGATGAAAATAAAAGTCGTCTAGAAGAACTGAATGACTTTAAAAAAAAATTGAACTGCATTCTGCACACATGCCAGTAATAATGATAGTATTTGTCAACAAATACAGTTTTCACCCTTTTTGAGAAATCTGAAGATAGAGAGTTCAGTAAAAAACGGGACGGAGATGTATAAGGCCGATAAGTAAACCATCAACATTTTAAGTATTAAGAAATAAAGTTTCATACAAAGGCATAATTGGATAGAACTTGTCGAATTAAGTATATTTTGTGATGAAATGTAGCTTTCAAAATCCCAGCATGAAAAAAAAATGATTGCGTGAAATTTTGTCGTTTTTATATGAATTGTCTATAATCACAACTTAGTGTATCTTCACTAAACATATTATCATCTTTGGTTAAATTCTAATAGAATTCGACATTGAAAATGAATTTTCTAGAAGGTCTCATGCAAAAATTAAGCAATTCATACAAAGGAAAACAAAGCTGTGTGATTTTTCATAACTTTAGGTCAATTTATTTAATTTAAAAAAAAACAATTGCAAATTAACTGTGGAAATATAATTTTAACGAAAATACTATTATTATTTAAGTTTTCCTCTACAATAAATATAATTATACATCAAAATAGAATAATAACGACGACTGCACTAATGTCTTTTTTTTTTGTCTCTATTCAACTCATCTGATTCAGTATATAACATTTTCGTTTAATCTTTTGTATCGTTCATTATATAGATTCTTAGATTTTCAATAAACGATTGCTTGTTCATTCGATTACATTCCATAAATTTCAAATTTAGAAAGACAAAGCCTTACTCAAACTATTGATTGTAGACAAGTGTAGATCTTAATCATGATTATATAATTATAAGTACTAAGATATCAACTTTGAAATAACTTTTTGACACTGATGATTTTTTTCCTAGGACAAAAAAAAACAAAGAAACCATTTTTCGAATAGCAGTTTTTGAAACATACATAACATAACTAAGTTGAAAGTATAGTTCTAGAATGTATGTAAAACAATATATTTTATTTTTGAATATCAAGTCTGTATATCAATTATCTAATATTGTATGAGACAGTTCATCAGACTTACTTAATTTGTTTCTTTTTCTAAATAAATATTTGATTGGTAAAAATAAATATCATCAAGCATTGTGCAAAAGAGTAGACGGAATTCTTATCTATCTGTAAGATTTTATTATCTTTAGTATGATTTAGACAAGAAAATGATAAAACTCATTTTCTAGTGAGACAATTAAACAAGACAATACTATTCTTCTTTTTTTTGTATATACTGATGTTTAGATCATCAATTAACTGCATATTTTTTCTTATTATTCTGCTTAATTTTATAACGACAAGTATCTTTTGCGATCATGATTATTTAAGTAGGTATATATTAAAGACAATACTAAAAAAAAACATAAAAATTTACTTTTTTTTTTTTTAATTTTTGATACCGAAAAAAGTTTCTCTAACATCAATTATTAATAGTTTTGTCTCTATAAGTCGATTTTCTGAAAAATGTAACAGTTCTCATATATTTTCTTTCTTTCTGACAGACGATCAAACATTAGAACGTGACTATGGTTTACAAGAACATTCAACTGGTCTTCCACCAGCTATTATTGCTATTATTGTCATTAGTGCGATTCTTTGTTTCGCTGCATGTTTAAGTTGTTGCATACGTTCTCAACAACATCAACGTGCTCCTGTTGATTACGTTAATTCGGATCATACAACTATTGCTAATCCCTATCAACTACAAGATGTTCGAAGTCCAGCACGAATCGTACTTGTGCGACCTATTAATAATGTTGGTGCTGCACCGCACTCTCAAGTACTTCCTAGTATATACGAAGGTCCACCTCCATCTTATGACGTAGCAACTGGCAGTCTTTCATCACTACCTCCACCGTTCACAGCACGTGTTCAATAATCTAATAAATTGACTCTATAAGTAAAAAATTATTTTATCAATAAATATGAAACAAAAAACAGAGACTAGACATTAAAAAAAAATATTCCTGAACGGATAAATTAAAAGGAAATTGTTCTATTCTAAGTAATCCAATCATGCTACTTATCTACAAGTACAATATTTAACTGATGTCTTGTTTTTCATCAACTACAAGATCGATTTCATGTAAATTATCTATTTCATAATATGAATAAATATATTTGTTTATAATAATCATTCATACAAATGACGGTATCTTATCATTGCTTCAAAATCAATTTACTAAGAAAAGAACACTTATTATTATTCTATTAAACAGTAAACATTTTTGCAATGTAATTCTTAATGATAGAATTATGCAATCTTTACTTCAATCATTTTGTTGCTGAATGTAGGTCCATTTTAAGCACAAATTTATACTAAAATAATATGCATATTAACTCAAATCTTTCATTCATAGTTATAAGGATAAAAAATATCTTCTAATATGCAAATTTTAAAACATAATGTGCTATTTGAGTAATATTCTTCATAGAAGTATTGTATTCTTATTGTAATTAATATTTTTGTTTTAGATGACAAATGATAATAATCACCATGTATATAACATATTAATATGTTTCCACAGTAATATTCAAATATAATTATGAAAATTTTATTTCATTATCAATCAACTATAAATTCTAAGAAACTAGTATTATTATTATTGGACTAAATTCTAAAATAATATAACGAAATGACGAAGGATAAAATTGAATGATAAATATAGTTTTGATTATTTATAATCAAAAGATGAACTATTTCTTGCTAACATTTTATTTATATAGACTCAAAAAAAAAATCATAATGATTTTGATAATAAAAACAGTTAAATGAATTGAAATTTGATACAATATATGAAATAAGTAAGAAAACAAAGTTTTTTTTCATAACTTCATAAACATTGAAACCATAAGATTTTTGTATAAAAACATTTGTTCTCTTATCCTCTTACAAGTAGTGAGTGCACGAAAATTTATCTTAATTTATATTTGATTTAATCGTTGGAATAAATTAATTTTCAACTTATGTATAAATTGAATGTTTTTCGAATTGCAATAAATTTTTAATAATAAAACGTTACTTTTAATTAATATATAAATACAACATATTAAGAAAAATCTTAGAAATTAAACATTAAATTCTATGAGTTAATTTCTTTTTATTTCATAGAATGAATGATTTATATAAAACAAAGAGAATAATAAATTGTAATATATCTATATAAATAGATAAAGAAATCAAAAGTGCGACACTTCAATGACGATTAATGGCCTGTAAAAAACAGGTAATGACCTTGTTTACATAGAAAACATTCAATATTCAAAACAACAAGCGATGAAAAAATCTCAAAAGAAAAGAACACTGTTGAAAAAGTATCAATTATGTTTTACAAAATTTAGTCAGGATCATCAAGAAAAATTGTCAAAAAAAAACAAAAAATGTTTCTATTTGACAATAAAAAATTTTCTAAAGAAAACAAAAAATTACATAATTCAGGCAGATTGAAATGTCTGTGCATGGATTCACTTGATCAAGTATTTTTCAGCGGGTGTTTGTCGAGTTCAAAAAAAAAAATATAATAAGGCGAACCATTCCAATGAAACGCTGGTTTCTATCATCATCATTTACAATTAATTAATTCGATATGAAACATTGTGAATAAAGTAAAATATTAAATGTGCAATATTAACCAAAATCTAAAATGTAAAACAAAAAAAAAAAGAAAATACTTAGAGCATACAAAAAGTCTTTATGGAGTCATATCGATTTCTTATTGAATGCTTGAAGAAATTTTTGTGTAAAACTTAACTAACGATTTCGGCAGATTAAATGTTTCAATCACTTAATACATTGTATTAAAAAACAAAATATACTACAAGATGCAGCATGAAAAGCTCTACAATCTACAAAGTAAAGCTTATTTTAATTGTGTATTTCTCGTCAACGAAATCAAAATTCTGTGCGACCAATTTTCACCGTCTCGAAAAAATTATACGAAGAGAAGTTCCGTTCTTGTATTTCATATATAAAATAAACTGTTCTTTATAAGTTGTAGAGCTTTTCACGCTACATCTTGTGGAATATTTTGTTTTTTAATACAACATACTGAGTGATTGAAAATTGAAATGCAAAGCGTATTAATCGACCTCATCCGTTAGTTAAGTTTTACATAAAAACAGTTCTTATCGAAATTTTATTATTATGATATTAGTTGAAGATAGGTCAAATAGCATAGAAAAATAGAGCATCGTTTTCTCTATCACTACATAAAAGAAGAAAATTACTTCAAGCATTCTTCGTAAAGACTTTTGGTATGTCCTAAGTAAATTATTATTATCGTTCAATGTATTTTATATTTAGACATTGTTAAGACTTAAACTCATACTCAAAGAAAAATATTAAGCAAAAACTGAATTGATTGTAAACTCACTTTTATTTTTAATTTTCTCCACACAAATAGTCCATACTTGAATGCTGTAAATAAATAAAAATTTCATAGAAATCATGTCAGATAATCAACACAAAAAAAAAGAACAACATTTATTAAAATTATTGATATATATTCACTTACAAATTGATTACTTTCATTCGAATATAAATAAATGGAATTCTTTTTCATATAGCATTGAATAAGGTGAACATTGGAATGGACTTACTATTCCATCCTAGTATTGAGAGATGCTGAACTAAAACGAAAATAATCATTTATTATAGAACATTTTTATCTTATATGATCGAAAGAAGTATATTTATCTACAAGCAGAACAAAAAAAAAATGTGTATGTAAAAAAAGCAAAAAGCAAAATAGAAGTGTTATGTTCGAATTCATCAACAATGTGTCGTTTTTTTTTTTTTCTTCTTTTCTTTCTTTCAAAGACAAACACATTTCGTATTGTATGTTGTAAGAACGGTCAAGTAAAAGAGAAATACTTCAAATGTAAAGAATAATACAAAAAGATGATTTATATAATATATATGTCCTTTTCTCAATTGCATTTATACAACCTATTGGATTTAGTATAAAAATTTTCCTTTTCATACAAACAAAATTATTCATAACATTAAAAATATGAAAATATGATATTTTAATAGTAATAGTTAATTTTTGTTTGATCGATTGTCAATTGAATAAAATGATAATAGTAAACTGCATTTGATTTTATCTATTATATTTTCATATGATTTTTTTTTTGGATCAAATATCTTTACCAAAAGATGATAGAATGTTAAGATTTCTGCACTAGTTATAAATCTATTAGTTCGATTCTTATTTGTTATTGAATGTCGATTCTGTTGACACAGATGTACTTGCATTATGTTGTAAGTATCGAAAATTCTAGTAGTACTCAAGAAAAAACAATATTATTTTTATGTACAGAATAAGAAAAGACATATTATGTTCACTTAAATTAATATTTATGATAGAATACTGATTCAAATGGTGAAAGAAAGTTTAAAGTTAATACCATTGTATTCAATTTTTTTGATGTTTCGGTAAGTTATCCTCTAAGACTAAGACAAATAAGTGTTCCAATTCTATATATATATATCATGATAAATTGAGAATATCTAGAATTTGAAAAGTTTTAAATTTAGATTATTTTTCATAGGAATGATGAGAAGAAAAATAATAAGAAAACTTAATAAAAATAGATATGATTTATATAATTTCTTCTAAAAATCTTTTTTCTTAATTTGTCACATTATAAAAACAAATCATGTTAAATTAACTTATTATCAGTTACATATTAACAATTAAAATATTCGTTAATTTTTGTTCTTCATAAGATTTTTAGTCTTTAATATATCTTGTCTTTCTTTATTCGTGATAAATCAATATCTATTATTTTCTGTAGACAAATTCTTTATTGAAATGAAATTTGATCTTATTATTCAACATAACTCACATAGAGCTATTGTTGCTCTTCGTTCTATTGTTTTAATAGATCTGTTCGATTTGTAAACGATTACGTTAATCTTTGTTTTTAATTGATTGAATGAAAAATTAATACGTTGTTAGAGTTTCATCAATGCGTTATTAAGTTAATATTGAATAGACAAATATATTGATATTCAATTTCGCGATAGGTGGTCTAGTAAAAAAAAAAACTAATGAATATTGTGTCATGTGCAGCGCTTCTATGGAATCAATAAACTGCTACTAGCTGTTTTACAATCAAGATCAAATTGATTAGACAATATGATATATGTACGAGACTTGTAAATTTATTTTATAAATTATATTTATTGTTTATTACTTAATTTTATATTAGAAGTGCATTATAATAATGTACTTTATTTTAAATTTTTTACGGTTAAAAAACACAGTAGAGTATATTTTTAAGTGTCGTTCTCCTTCTTTCTTTCATTAACTGATTTGACAATATTTCCTTCCTGTCTCTTTAAAATAAACTCATAAGTAATATTTAGTTGATTTCTTTTGAAATTTAACATTTTTCTTTTTAAAAAAATTCTTTCCATTATTCATTGACATGATATGAATGAAAAATCTCTCAATTATTATTTAATATTAAGTTCATTGATTAGTATAGATATTCTACGAAAATTCTAAGGTCTTGTTGTTATGACGGTTGTATGTCTTATTGTTCAATATAACTATCTATGTGCTTATACATAGGTAATACACATAACGTTCAAATGTCTTCACTTCACAGTAACAATGCTGAAACACTTCAAGTCATAAAATAACTTAACAGAAACGATAAAGAGAAAAAAAAATGACTTTTATGGGCTTTTTATTCTATTCAATAAACAGGTTCAAGCAAGAGAAAATCATAGTAGAAATCACTAATGAAGCATATATATATATAGAAAACCTATGGTTGACGGATAAATGAAAGACTTCGTGTGACCTATTTAGATGAGACATATATATATCGTTAATAGGACATTAATATGCAATCTAAAATGCTCCA